AGGGGGGGCCAAGCTTGGTGGCGGGGGGGCCCTGCCCCCCCCCCCCGAATGGATGGTGGGAACTGACCTGATAAGTTTAAACAACCCGCTAAAATCTCGTCCAGCTGCACAATCTGCGCAGGACACGCTGATTTGCGCTCAAACCACGCCCATCTGGACTTTTGTTGATGACGTCGAGGTGGGCGCCACTCGGTGAGTCACGTGTGTAAACAGTTGCTGCCACGTGGTTAGGGGGGAAGCCTCCGTGACAGTTTTGTTTGACAGCTCACAGACACAGATCTTGTCATAAGAGTGGTGAAACGTAAATTTATATTTTTATTTTAAACAATATATTGTTATTAATAAGTGAGGACGCATTGAGACTGAGGTGTTGAGAAAGTTATTTTGTAGCCAAGAATGCAAAGAACATCAATAACATCAATAACTATCCTTAGCATTAGCCTCTGCCTGTTCCTTGTTTACTGCATGTTGGCCTTTTTGTTGTTTTACACAGAATAAGGTCTTGGTTCTAAACAAGAATTACAACAATAATTCAGAAAATATATTAATATACAAATGACAGTGTATATATATGTGTGTGTGTGTGTGTGTGTGTGTGTGTGTGTGTGTGTGTGTGTCCCTAGACCACAGAACCAGTCATAAGGGTCAATTTTCTGAAATTGAGATTTATACATCATCTGAAAGCTGAATAAATAAGTTTTCCATTGATGTATGGTTTGTTAGGATAGGACAATATTTGGCTGAGATGCAACTATTTGAAAATCTGGAATCTGAGGGTGCAAAAAAATCTAAATATTGAGAAAATCACCTTTAAAGTTGTCCAAATAAACTCCTTAGCAATGCATATTACTAATCAAAAATGAAGTTTTGATATATTAAAGGTAAGAAATGTACAAAATATCTTCATGGAACATGATCTTTACTTAATATCCTAATGATTTTTGTCATAAAAGAAAAATTGATAATTTTGACCCTTACAGTGTATTTTTGGCTATTGCTACAAATATACCCCAGCGACTTATATATTTATATTACAGTATATCTGTATGTGTCACCGTTGTTCCCTGAAGGAACTATGTTTTGTTTTTAACCATTGCCATGCAATGTGCTAAAAATTACAATAAAGTTGACTTTGACTTTTGACTTTGACATATATATATATATATTATTTTAAAAATGCACTTAAAAGTGTTTTTTCCTCGCAAAATATTTATTGTATGAATGGTTGTAAATATTAGTGTTCAATGTCTTTGTAGCAACATGGGGTCCAAACCAAAATCCATATGGGGACAATAAAGTATACATTTTTATTTTGCGATCTATTTTAAAACTATTTTTGACTGGCAAGTGGGATTACACTGCTGGTAAATTTGAATAAGCATGTATTATGTTTGTTTTATTATCTTGTACTAAATATAATAGTATATATAATAATAATAATAATAAAAATATTTAATTAAAAAAATATATATATTTTTTTTAAGTAGCACAACTTGCTAAAATGGTAGCAAGTTATGCGGGTAAACTGATTTTGAAAAAAAAAAAAAATGTTTGGGTGATAAAGATTATTAGACTGTACTGCAAACTATAAAGAGACCCACTTAATCATGTTTTTTTTTTTTACTGCAAACTATAAAGACACCCACTTAATCATGTTTTTTTCTTCCTTTTATTATAGCAATATTGTATTAAAATCGAAAACACAATCACTTCTACCCCATTAGTTGAACTGTTCTCGGTGAAAATGAGACAATGCAGATAGAATTTTCTCATTTGAACTGAAGAAAAGTTGTGTGTGAATATAGCTTTTTAGCCCCCGCTACCTCTATGAACCGTAGGGGGCTTTTGATGAAGATGGCTCGCTAACAACCCGAGAAAAGCACGTTTATTTTGCCTAAAACTGAGTCATCTAAATGAATTATCTAAAACAATTTACCCCCCACCCCATGTGGTACAGGAGACAGAACAATACAACACAAACTCATGAATGCATGTAGGCTGATTATACATTTCAACCCTGACAGCACCTGAACTACTCAATTAACAATTACAAACAACCAATTCACTCAAGGACTGGAAAGCTGACCCCGTGTGTCTGAAAAGAAACTCGCTCTTGTGTCTGCTGCACTACTGCATTGAGTGGCTTACAGACTGTTGACTTAAATAACTTAAACACAGACATTTTAGACAGACTAAGTGATATATATATATATATATAGGCCTATAGTTACTAGTATTATTAAGTGAATACAATATATACAGTATTGCACATAAATAAGTGAAGTGTAGCAGTAGTGGGATGGATATGGTTGATCTGTAAGTACTAAGTGAATGATATGTATATAACTTTTTACTACAATGTGGTACTATGTGTCACTGTTGTTTTCATTAAGGCAATGTTTATTTATTTATTTTAAGCTAGTATCCATGCAGTGTGCTAATAATGACAATAAAGTTGACGTTGCCTTTGATAACACATATGACAAAATGCATTTATTTATGGTATGAATGACTGAAAATATTCGAGTTGAGTTTCTTCGTGGTAACATGGAGTCAAAATTTCCAAATGGGCACAATAAAAAACGTTTTAATTCTGTAATCTATTTTAAAAATGAAAATAATTTAAAATAGATTACAAAAGTCATTGAATAATTTAAAAATGGCAGGTTTTATTATAGTTTTTATTTTTCTCCAGTATTTCAATTTATCTGTGATACGAATGCCTGTAAAATTTTAGTGTTCAGTGCTTTGTGATTTCATAGGGTCCGAATTTCCATACACAATAAAGTATTTTTTTTTTAATTCTGATCTGTTTTAATAATGTCATCACAGCCAACTGAGATTATAAATCTGCTCTGAAAACGACAGATTTCTTTCTCCTAAATCCAAAATGAAACACATACCAGCTTCTTCTTGAGGACAAAATTGCTTCAAAACATTCTTCATCCTAAACAAATCAAACCGTAAAACAATACGATCAGCATTGAAACCAGTTCTCAGAGCTCTTGATTCGATCATGTCGCAGTATTTCATGGCATTATGAATATTAGTGGCAGACAGGGGACACAGAGCTCCGACTAGGTGTGACTTTTGGCAGTGGTGGCTGGGAGATCATCCAATGGGCACCTGCTGCTGCTGCCACCAGCGTCTGTGCGGAGAGAACAAAAGGGGCCATTGAGCACATAACAGCTGTTGTGCTGTGTCTGCTGGGGGAAGCCCCCTCCTCCTCTTTAACGTTGACCTCCATACAGCTCTTTTAAGAGACTGCATGGTAGCCATCCTGCTGCCACATTGTTAAATACAGAACAGCGATGTGGGACTCCATTCACTGTCAACCTCAGTAAGGTTAAGAGCTTAGCATGATGGCCACAAAGCTGCTAGGAGTTGACCAGGTGATCAGTTGTGCAGGTTGAGCACTTTCATGTACCTCATCTCCAAAACCCTTTTATCATCAACTGCTTGATCGGCCACAAAACATGAGGTTTTTGTAATTACCTTGGTCTACATTGTATGATACATAATGCTCAATGTTTTAGAATAATGTATTGAAACAATGTATGCATGTAATGAAATAATACAAAGCATATTCAGCAGTTTGCCATTTTCAATAACCAAAATAATAAAGCCAAAACCAAAATTGCCTTAAGCAGATTCCAACACCCAAACACTGCCAGACCAAGGCAGCAGAGCGATTGTCAGTGTGCTATGTAATGAATTACCCTGGTCTCAGCAGCAGCTGTTGAGGAGCTCACAACCTCAAGTCCAGCCTTCTGATCGTGACAGACGAAGCATCACACTGACATCTAGTGGATCATGTTCTGGGTCTCTCTGTAACACTCGTTCTCAGACTGCAAGCAGAGGGCACTGTGTATGTAGATGCATGAGCAAGACAGCCATTACAGGCCCTGTTCACCATTTTGCGACATTTCATAGATCTCTTAGATGATCCAGCACTTCAGTGCATCTGCTATTATTGACTCGTGTTGTAAAACCGACTGCAAGGGCACTTTTTTTTCTCTTCTCCAATCTGCATGGATTGCTTTTCGATAATCAGACCAATTTATATATTATAAAGGCTACTCATAATTCAATTATTCCAAGTTTCATTAATAGCCAAACTGGGCTGCTTCTGTACATGCATGCCAAATTATGCACGCTTGAGTTTTTCCCCCCCATGAAGTTTAATGAGACACACTACAGGATGCAGCCTTGTTAGGAAATTAAATAGTTGAATATTTAAACCATTTATTTTTCTTTTTGTAATGCATTAATTTCTTTGGTTGCTAATCCGGCTCTCATTTCACTGCCAAATCGATAATTGTTAAACGCAAACATGTTAAAAATGAATAATTTCCAATTTGTTTTTCTTTTTAAAAGCAAATGGTTATTTTAAATAACAAAAATGTTAAAAGTTAATTAAAAGATAACACAATGTCTAAAAGACATTTCATATCATTTATATTATAATACGAAAGTAAAAATTCACACAATTAGTTCATTTACACACATCAGGAAACAAATAAGCATAGTATACTTAAAACTGTCCCGAGACAGTGGCTTTATTTAGAAATATGATATAGAGAAATGTAGCAGCATCTTGTTTAAAAACAAACTTATAAAAAGCGAATGGTCAAATTTGGTTACAAACACATAGGAGGCGACCAGTGGAAAATCTTAAATATAAAATCAGAGTCCTAGCTTCTGAAGCTGGTGATTTCTCTGGTCCTTTCTGGCAGTGGAGACTCGAATCCCCATGACAACCTGTCAGGATTTTGCTGGTCCAAATGGCAACCTGAGCCCCAGAAACCCATGCCCATATTTGTGTGGGGATCTCCGTGGTCATCTTTCCATCTGCTCCAGTCCCACCCTCTTTTAGCAGCAATCAGAGACAGTAACAGCTCTGAGATTTTGGCAGGTAGTATACATTAACTAAAAAAAAAAAAAAAAAGTAAATAAAAACAAAACCTTTGGACCATTAAAACAAATTATTTCATGTCTTTCAAGTCTCACATGGGGGGAAAAAAGTATGAAGCATAAGACATTTTTGGTCTTCCGAGTCTTATGCTTATGCATGTGAGCTGATGCTTGGGTTTGTCCTGTAATGCCATTGATTTGTTGATTTTCATTTAAACTCATCTGTCAGGGCTGTGTCCTATTCCATACATAATGAAGTCAGGAGACGGTGCTCTCTGGCTTTTCACTGCTGGGTGGTGGTGTGAGTACTCCAGAGGGAACAGGAGACCTCTGAATGCTCTCAATGTCCACTAGCTGATAGGAGTGCACCTTTCCCTGAAAAATAAGAAAAGAAACAAGAAAACTTTAGGCTAGAGGAAGTGAAAGAAACAAATGTTGTGGCTGGGGCAAATTTATGCAAAATTCTGTAGTGAGAACGAGACAGACGCTTACTGTTTAAGCCCAATTTTCGTTTGTACATAAATACACACACAAATTATATATACATATAATATTCAGATTGAAGTGAACTGGCCTAAGATTAAAACCCAATTTAAGACAAACTAGACAAAGTAGTCGTGGCCAAGTTCAAAACAAAGTAAACTTACCAGCCATTCCATGTAAGGCACGTGGGTCTGGATATTGTGCATATCATCCGCTGCTATTCCTTTGAATGTCTTGAGGGCTGAGCTGCCTGCTTCACGGATTGACATGGCGAAAGGGACCATCCATTTCACACACTCCTCCAAGTCACACCACTTCAGCCCTGAAACCAAATAAATCAAAAGGTCACTTCCAACCACTTAAGCCAATTTTGTGATATACATGCTCAAATACATAGAGCTGTTGAGAAGAAATTCACACAAGAGCTGTTAAATTCATACCTGAAACTTTCATCACTAGCTCTAGAGAAGAGAAGTGGAAGAGCGCAGAAGCTGCAAGAAGGCCGTAAGAGAACTCCAGACTTCTTACATCCAGTATACACAGATCCAAGAGCTAAAGAAAAAGACAAAGCCACAGTAAGTAAACAGTAAGTTCTTTTATTGGGTAGTTAAATAAGTCTAAATATTTTGTTTGCGATTTGCACTGCAATATGATATAAACAGGGGTGCACATAAGTTTTTCAGCCTGGTTCTCATAAGAGAACCTGGAGATTTGGTTTGGTCCTCACACTGCATAGTGTAACCCATTAAATACAACTATATAAAAAAAAAATAATAATAATAATTAATCGCAGTGATATTGTTGCACTTTATTTAGTTTTTTTTTTTAAATAAATAAATTATAAAGTTTGATAACTAAAATAGTTGTATTTAATATTCTTTTTATTTGAAAATATGATAGTAAACTTAAATTCATCTTTTAAAAAAAAAAATAGTAGTAAATATTAGCATTTTATTTTTATCATTTTCAAACTTAAAATCAGCAGGCTTTTATTTTGGCGAGTTGCCGGCAAGAAAGTACATGCGCTTCCGGGTTTAGCGCTGCCGACTGAAGCGCATCAGTGAATGAAATGTCAGTTTTGCATTATGCTTTGAAAACGGCAGCGGGTAGCCTAGCTTTATTTATCCATTCAGTTTGAATAGAAATCACTTTTACAGATCTAAAATTGAAATTGTGCATTAACAGCGGTCACCCATGTCGGTACACAAATGCGCTGTCAGAATGTATTTATACAGCGCATTTTTTATTTTGGTCGCGCATGACTAAAATAGTTGTATTTAATATTCTTTTTATTTGAAAATATGATAGTAAACTTAAATTCATCTTTTAAAAAAAAAATAGTAGTAAATATTAGCATTTTATTTTTATCATTTTCAAACTTAAAATCAGCAGGCTTTTATTTTGGCGAGTTGCCGGCAAGAAAGTACATGCGCTTCCGGGTTTAGCGCTGCCGACTGAAGCGCATCAGTGAATGAAATGTCAGTTTTGCATTATGCTTTGAAAACGGCAGCGGGTAGCCTAGCTTTATTTATCCATTCAGTTTGAATAGAAATCACTTTTACAGATCTAAAATTGAAATTGTGCATTAACAGCGGTCACCCATGTCGGTACACAAATGCGCTGTCAGAATGTATTTATACAGCGCATTTTTTATTTTGGTCGCGCATGCGCAACTGCGTACCACTTACGTGCACCCCTGGATATAAACATTTAACATTTAAAAAAAAAAAAATGTATTACAAACATGGTAACATTTCTGCTGTAGATTCACAACGTTTAACCCTCAAGCCCTTTGGAGAAAAATAGGGATGCACCGAATGTTCGGTAATCTAAATTATTCGGCCGAAAAAATTAATTTTTTTTTTTAAAAAAGCTTGATCGGTGTTCGGCCAAACAATGACGTGACACGATCAAATAGCAACCAGCGTAGAGTGAGAGGCGCAACGCAACAAACACGTCAGCAGTGTGGAAGCATTTAAAACTGTCCGAGACAGATGCAAAAATCATTACAAGCACCGACGGCGAGAGACTGTTTAGGACTGCATCGCATGTCTTCGTGGAGAAGAGGAAGGGGTGATTGTTGCTGGTTACTGTATGATGATTGAAATCGTGAAATGGTCTTAAACAATTAGTAAATAAACTGCAGCAGAACATTGTTTTCTAATACACGCACCAATTGCATGTATACTGACAACGCTGCACGAGCTCGCGGCGGATCTGCTTGTTAACCAGGGTTCAAAGTCCAAAGCGCGAGGAAAATCTGCGCTGAAACGGTGTTACTCGTCAGTTGCTCAGTCACATTTTTATGATTTTTTTTACAAGGCACGTGACAATGCAATACGTGCGACGTATTCGTAATGAGACTCATTTATAAATCTGCTGTCAACAAAAAGCAGCATTGAGGTCATCCTGCGTGTTTCCGCCAAAAATAAAAGTTGAGAAAAAGCAAGAACTCCATCAACATTCATAAATGTTAGTATTGTAATTTTACTGTTGTTCTGTAATATAAAATTAAAAGAAAATAATAATGATAATTTCAACAGCTCTGTTTTAATACATTCACACGGTGTTCAAATTAGGATCTGTAATATTTTCTAATGTTTTAAAAGAAGGCTCTTCTGCGCAGCAAGGCTGCTTTTATTTGTACAGTAAAAAATACATGCCTGATTCAAGATGGGGGTCTGATGGCCAAAAAAAAAATATTATTTTACTAACTTATTAATTTTAAGTTAAATTGTGCTTTGTTGGTATAGTGTCTGCTAGAATGTTAAAAATGTTCAGTGTTCGATAATTTTATATTGTTGTTTTGTAATTGATTTTTTCTTTGAAAACCAAGGCAAAACAGTAAAAAGCACATTTTGGCTACTTGATTTGTGCAATGGTGAAAAAAATCGTGTTCAGTATTCGGCCCAGTGTTTCATTTTGATTGGTTTTGGCCAAGAATTTACATTTCAGTGCATCCCTAGAGAAAAACTAACAAAAGACTCACAAGTTTTAAATCTGTTCCTTATTCCAACTCTGGTAAAGTAACAGTAACTTGTACTGAAATATGTCCGGAGTTTATTTATTTTAAAAAGTTCTGTTGTAAAAAAGGACAGTTCACCCAAAAATGAGAATCGAGTCATCATTTCCTCACCCTCATGTCATTTCAACACTGTATGATGAATATTATTTTCCACACAAGTAACCCAAGTCTGTGGCATCCATTGTATGGACACACGAAGACATTTCTCAAAAAATCTTTCATGTTCCACCTAAGTCAGTCGGTCATACATACAGGTTTGGAATGACATGAGGGGGGGGGGGGGGGGGGGG